ACTCCAAAAAAATTAAAAATTCTTTAGTATACTTTTTTCTAATGTGATAATGTGACAGGTATGATGTGACACTTCAAAAAAAAAATAAAACCTATTTGGTGTATTTTTTCCTAATGTGACAGTGTAGCGGGTATGATGTGACACTTTAAAAAAAATAAAAACTTTTTAATGTACTTTTTTCAAACGTGACAACGTAACGAGTATGATATGACACTTTAAAAAAAACTCTTTAGTGTATTTTTTCTTAATGTGACAACGTGACGGTTATGATATGACACTTAAAAAAAACTCCTTAATGTACTTTTTTCAGATGTGACAACGTGACGGGTATGATGTGGCACTTTAAAAAAAATTAAAAATTCATTAATATACTTTTCTCTAACGTGACATGTGACACTCCAACGTAGCGGGTATAATATGACACTCTAAAAATATAAAAATAAAAACTCTTTAGTGTACTTTTTCCAAATGTGATACTTTAACATGATGGGTATGATGTGATACTAAAAAAAATTTTTAATGTACTTTTTTCAAATGTGATATTCCAATGTGGCGAGCAAATGAGACATTACACATTCAAAAAGACTAAATGGATCACAAGAAAAAATATGACACTATATAGATTACAAGTGCAAAATATGATACTTATTGGTCAATCTCCCTATTATTAATTAGTTTTTCCTTTTATGTTTTTTTTTTAAAAAAAGAATTAATAGTTGAGAACCTAAAAAAATAATAATAATGATGATAAATTACAAATACACATTTTAAAATTTATTTAAAATATAAATTATTTATAATTCTACGAATTACAAATCTCTTTGTTAAAATTTTTTATTTAGCAAAATTAATAAAAATAAATAAAATTCTTAACTACTCTTTTATATAATAATAAAATTACCAGAATTGTTAATGAAAATATATTTTTGACATTATTAAAAATTTGATAATTGACTTAACAATTTATTAATAAATGAAGTCATTTGTTATACAATTAGAAATTTAAAAGAATGCAAGATATAATTTATAGAAGCACAAGAGACAATTTGTGTCTAAGTAAAAACCTCAAAAGATATATTTATAATTTACCTTAGTAATTTTTACAGCGTATTTCTAATAATTTTTCACAAAATTTTTCAACAGTTTATTTTTTTTTAATTTTTAATTTTTAATTTTTTTTGCTAAAATGGTTAAAACATTTTCTTAAAATGTTGTGAGAACTGCATCACTTTTTCTTGAAATGAATATTTTATCTCAATGCGAGTTTCTTGCCAACCATTAGATTAGACCCAACCATATCACGTGATTGAATTCGATCATAGGAGAAAGAATAGCCCTGCGAATGAACTGAATTATTTACGAAAAGGAGGACAGACTCAATTCGGTTCTACTCATTTGCTTTTCTTATTTAGTAAATGAGTCGAACTCAAACTCAAACACGAATATTAAGTTCGTTTAGTAAACGAATTGAATTCGAGTTTGAATAAACTTGATTCATTTATCTTTATTTAAATTATATAATAAATACATTATTAATATATTAAATAATATACAAATAATATTAAAAAAATCTTATTGAGTCGAGCTGAATCAAAATCAAATTTCATTAATATTAACAAGTCAAGCTGGAGCCTAGTTTGTCATCAAACCAAACTCGAGCACAAAAAACAAGCTCAATAAGCAAACGAGCCGAGCTCAAACTCAACAAAGATCAACTCGACTTGACTCAACTCGTTTATAGTGCTAAGAAAGAGGGCAATTTCTTAGAAGCCTAACAAAAACAAGACAACCCTAATCTGCTCACTAGTATATAGGGATGTAAGATAAATCAAAAAAAATTGACCAAATCGATTGAATCGAATTAAATCGTTCATATTTGGTCTGTTTTTTAACAAGAATTGTTCTGTGCGATTTTTAAATTTGTTTTTTTTTTATATTTATTTTCAATTCGGTATTGGTTTAAGCACCTTATGCACCGAACTAAACCGAAACCGATCACTTCAACATATATTGTATTTATAATATATATATAATATAATAATATTAATAAGCATAATAAATTATTAATCTCTACTAACTAACCCTATCTTCCCTATATATAGTCTTAACTCTAATTCACTATTCTTAATACCTTAGTATTTATCATTAGTTTTTTTTTGTATTTTGTTAATCTAAAAATTGTAAAATATTTATTAAATGAATAGATAGAATATGTTTAAAATGATTGACAAATGACTAATTTAATATTTTTAACATAAATGAATGATTATACTAAAAAAATGGCTTAAATTTAAAAGATATTAAACCGATTAAACTCACCAAATCAAATCGTTTCAATTGGTGTGTTCCGTATGATTTGATGGGAAAAATGATCTATATCAATACTTCAAATAATAAAATCAATATTATCAAATCGATAAAAAAAAATTTACAAATACCGACCGCACTGGTTAAATCCCTACTCGTGTATCATACGGCTTTCACAATGGGAAAGCAATGTAATGCGATACACATGTATTGGCATCTGAGTAATAAACTAAAGAACACAGAGCCACTAACGAGATCACAGAGACAATAATGAGAACACAGAAATGGTAGGTGACAATGTGGTAAGGTAGCACGCGGTGCACGTGGCGCACGTGGTGATCTACCTTGACGGGAAAAATTATTGTGTGCTCCTAGAACATTATCCCAACACATCCAAAGTCACAATCGTGTGATCGTGTACTCCAAGAGCACGTAGTAACGTTTTGGCGTGATGCATAATATGAGAAACCCATCTCAACCCAACTTGACATGCCCCCAGTTAGGCAAGCAAGGGTGTGGGTCACATAAACCAACCACAAAAAAACAAAAAAACAAAAGACAAAAATGCAAAACACTAGCATGGTAAAGAAACCTTCAAAGACCCAAGAAATAGTGTTTTGTCAAGCGGAAAGTAACGGTTTTTTGGTACATTTCGAGCATGTGGGAAACAAATATCTTTCTGCAGATGGCCTTAGTTCTCTTCTATTTCAACTTACATGTTAGAGTGACCAACTCGAACACGAACACGGTGCCATGAAGTGTTCAGTATCCCTCTCAAGTTCCAAATGGTTTCCACATTTTCAGGTTGGACATTTGCAGCTGTATCCACCTGCACATCCATGGGATGACCAAGTAACCATAACGCAAGTGGCAGAACCAATTTGAGAAGTTACTAACATAAAAATGCAATTCAAACAGAGGAAATAACTTGTAACCTATTGAGTCAAAATGTATGAACTTCAGCTTGTCAAGATGGAATGCATTTATCCATACATTCAGGTCAGTTCAAGTTCATAATATAAATCAGTTCAAGTTGATCATGTGCAGAGTTATTTCCTATTGAACAATATACAGATGGTCCATCTTTGTTTATATTGAAACCAATACACTAATTGGAATATTATGTGATGCAATTATGGATCGAAATAAAAATCTAATTTCAAATGCTAGTGAGGAAAACTATTGTTAGAGCATCCGCATCTGCCTCTTCAAATTTTTAGGTTAATTAAACGCAAAATTCATTTTTTCTATTTTACTTAGTCACATTTTTCGTATTCACTGCATCAGACTCTCTATTTTAACTCAATCTTATAAAAATATTAATTTCTTATTGTATGTGTTATTCTTTTTTTTATTAAATTGATGAGGTGTCACAAAACAATTCTTAAAAAATGCCAAAAAAAAAAAAAAAATGTCTTTGACCAGTCAACCGGCTGGTCGACCGGTTAGGCTAATTTTCGACATTTTTCTTCTTCTGCTACAAGCACTCACGGAACACCCGGTAGGATATCCGGGTGGACGACTGGTTTAAAGATTTTTGCCCAAATTTGCTCTAGAAAATATAATAAAAAATAATGTAGCTAATGGACAGTGCCTCTTTATTTTTGTTGAGGTACTGTAGCAAATTTAACAAAACGTTAATTTACAAAAAAATTGTTGAGACTGATGGAGGAAGGATTTGATGCTGATGGTCTACAATAGCTTCAAAGCTATTGTAGAGAGCCTGATGCAGATGCTCTTAAGTAGCCACAATTAGGTCTTTCTGTCTACTTTGCTGTCTTTTTGTCTATGCCATGTTTACTGTTATGGCACACCATTGGAAACCAAACCAAACCAGACCAGACCCACCCCCTGCTGAAAACCAAACCAAACCAAACCAAACCAAACCCTACAAAGGGACTTGAACCTAACTTCCAGGTTGACAAATCAATAGGTACCACATGGCCTGCAAACGAAGTGCTGGCCATACCAGGGCCAAAAGGTTATTGGGTCAACAACAGGTTCACATATTGTAACCAATTTGATGAGTTCATGTTGATCTTGACAGAAATCAGCAGGCTGTCACCAATCTGATCGTTCCCACTTGATGGTGACTTTTACAATATCTCTCTCTCTCTTCCCCTGACAGTCTTTCACATAGTCTTCATTGGATGGTGCCAAAAAGTACAATTTCCAAATGCAAAATATAAGCAGGTTATGCTGTAATGAGAAGAAACAAATAAGACATACCGCTTTAGCAACTATCTCAGCAGTCATAGGGACATCAACGTTTGCCTCAAAAAACACCCAGGCCCATTTGTCACTACTTGCATTATCAGCAATGTATGGAATGCCCGCCTTCTGGTATCTGGATGCTTCCACCATAATGAGAACACAGAAATGGTAGGTGACAATGTGGTAAGGTAGCACGCGGTGCACGTGGCGCACGTGGTGATCTACCTTGACGGGAAAAATTATTGTGTGCTCCTAGAACATTATCCCAACACATCCAAAGTCACAATCGTGTGATCGTGTACTCCAAGAGCACGTAGTAACGTTTTGGCGTGATGCATAATATGAGAAACCCATCTCAACCCAACTTGACATGCCCCCAGTTAGGCAAGCAAGGGTGTGGGTCACATAAACCAACCACAAAAAAACAAAAAAACAAAAGACAAAAATGCAAAACACTAGCATGGTAAAGAAACCTTCAAAGACCCAAGAAATAGTGTTTTGTCAAGCGGAAAGTAACGGTTTTTTGGTACATTTCAAGCATGTGGGAAACAAATATCTTTCTGCAGATGGCCTTAGTTCTCTTCTATTTCAACTTACATGTTAGAGTGACCAACTCGAACACGAACACGGTGCCATGAAGTGTTCAGTATCCCTCTCAAGTTCCAAATGGTTTCCACATTTTCAGGTTGGACATTTGCAGCTGTATCCACCTGCACATCCATGGGATGACCAAGTAACCATAACGCAAGTGGCAGAACCAATTTGAGAAGTTACTAACATAAAAATGCAATTCAAACAGAGGAAATAACTTGTAACCTATTGAGTCAAAATGTATGAACTTCAGCTTGTCAAGATGGAATGCATTTATCCATACATTCAGGTCAGTTCAAGTTCATAATATAAATCAGTTCAAGTTGATCATGTGCAGAGTTATTTCCTATTGAACAATATACAGATGGTCCATCTTTGTTTATATTGAAACCAATACACTAATTGGAATATTATGTGATGCAATTATGGATCGAAATAAAAATCTAATTTCAAATGCTAGTGAGAAAAACTATTGTTAGAGCATCCGCATCTGCCTCTTCAAATTTTTAGGTTAATTAAACGCAAAATTCATTTTTTCTATTTTACTTAGTCACATTTTTCGTATTCACTGCATCAGACTCTCTATTTTAACTCAATCTTATAAAAATATTAATTTCTTATTGTATGTGTTATTCTTTTTTTTATTAAATTGATGAGGTGTCACAAAACAATTCTTAAAAAATGCCAAAAAAAAAAAAAATGTCTTTGACCAGTCAACCGGCTGGTCGACCGGTTAGGCTAATTTTCGACATTTTTCTTCTTCTGCTACAAGCACTCACGGAACACCCGGTAGGATATCCGGGTGGACGACTGGTTTAAAGATTTTTGCCCAAATTTGCTCTAGAAAATATAATAAAAAATAATGTAGCTAATGGACAGTGCCTCTTTATTTTTGTTGAGGTACTGTAGCAAATTTAACAAAACGTTAATTTACAAAAAAATTGTTGAGACTGATGGAGGAAGGATTTGATGCTGATGCTTCTGTCATTTTTTCTTTTGATGTATTACATGTAAATTCAAGCCAAGGGCTTAATATGTATTGAGTTAGCACTCTTCTTTTTGTAACCAAGTGTTAACTTGGAAAGCTGTAAGCCCGTAGGGCATTTGCTTTTGTTGTTAACATGTAATACTTTTGTAAGAACTATTATGATTTAATGGATAGGTGGTTGGTTTCTTTGTATCAATGCATGTCTAATGAAATGGGTTTTATTTATTATTTTGAGGGCATTACAGCACGTGCGAGAAGGGGTGATCCGCACGTGCAGGGATAGAGACCGCATGTGTGGCACTCTGGCAGTTTGAAACTCTTTTTTTTTCTATCTTTTTGGTCCGAATGTATCACTCATTTTACACATCTCTCTCTCACTCTAAACCCTATTTTCTCCCCCTTCTCTCTAGAAAACCTCCACACACACTAAGACTCTTTGAGTTTGTTGTTATTATGAATTGATGGCACATGGGTATTTTGTGAAATGGTTTGAAAAGAAGAGATTAGAAATGGGATTGATTAATATTGTTGTAGAGACATCTTGAGTATAGTAAAATGCTATGAAATAGTAATTCTGGCATCATGTTTCAATTGTGTTAATATTATTATTATGTATCTTGACATGTGTTGGAAGATATTTACTCTAAGAAAGAATATATATTGAAATGAGAACATTGGTAATGTGAATAGGGTAAATACGTGGTAAGTCTGGATAGGGGGTGTAGTTGAGTTTGATAAGTTGGCCTGAGTGTCCATGGTGAAAGACCAAAAAACCGCACAGATAGGTGTCGAGCCTTCCAGTTAATACCGGTAAAAATGACAGTTTGGTAGTACTCGTAGAGTCTACTTGTAGACACCAGCCTAGGGATTACCAGTGTCGTATTTACCGCCCCTACTGTTTAAATCGGAAGTTTTTTTTGAAATGTGTTGAGATTGCTAGCTTTTATTGAAATGGAAATTTTAAGAAGAGCATGAAAAGAAATTTTCTTTAATAAAACATGGCATAGCATGAACATTTATATTTTATTGAGATTTGGCATAACTATATATACTTTGTTAGAATTCTCTACTGAGTTTTTCCTCACCCCTATGGGACTTTGGTGCAGGTAAAAACATGGTGATCCCGCCAAGTTGAGGGCTCGGATAATTGTAAAGAGTACATAGCGCTTATTTTTGTTGTGATTTTTTTGTAAGCCAAGGGCTAATGTGTTTGGGTCCGAGAGACCATTTTGTGTAACCGGGCAATTGCCTTGAAAGATGTAAGCCTTTAAGGGCATTTTATTATTTTGAGATTTGATGCTTCACATGCTATAGATTCATGTATCCTTTTATGTTGTGAATGTATACCGCATGTGGAGCTTTTGTATTCAACCCATTTATTATATATGTGAAGATGGAGGGATTATTGTCATTGTTTAGTGAATGTTTATTAATTTGGGGAGTTCATGTTGAATTATTTTCGGGGTGTTACACAACAAACATTTCTTATCCTCTTGTCCACCATGCCACACTACAATGCATCTATAAACATATATATAACATCAACACGAGCCCTTCCCCTATTTTATTCAAAAAACCCCCAATTTCTATGTAACGCCCTCAAAATAAACCCATAGACCGTCCAATATTAGCATGCTTAGACATAAGAGAATAAAGCATAAATGTATTCAATCAGAGTATTCATTACAAAATGTATTACATGTTGACAACAAAAGTAAACGCTCTATAGGCTTACAACTTTCCAAGTCAACACTTGGTTACAAAAAAAGGAGAGTACTAACTTTATACAAAGAAAGCCCTTGGCTTGATATACATGTAATACAACAAAACAACAAAAGGCAGTCTAACAGCCGTGAGCCTTCTAAGCTACGTCCTTGGAGGTGGCATAACACCTGTACCTGAAAATGATGTCGCATATAGGGTGAGCCACAGCCCAGTAGAAATATACTAAACCAACTATAAACAATGACTAAAAATAATAGCATTCGATAGATGGTCCACACTTATATTCCAACTCATATCATATTATCATTTCATGACAATCATGTACATGTTACATTTCATTTTCCATTTCTCAATTCACAACCTTGGCTCAGAACCTGGCCATACACTTTAAGTGAGATTTCATCCCTTATCAACAACATTTCTATTTCAGGTGAGTTAATAACTCGTGTCAAACATTTCAGGCTTCATAATAGATACACATTTTAGTGCTGTATCAATCTCAAACAAAATCACTTCCGTACTTCACAAATGATACACATTTTAGTGCTGAATCAATAACATCTAAAAACACTTCCATACTTCACAAATGATACACATTTTAGTGTTGTATCAATGTCAAGCAACATTCGGTTTAAAGGTCCATCCCCTATCTTCCCCTAAACCGTAGAGTACATCCCCTCTCTCCTCTCACACAACACAATGTATATAAGCAATTATCATATACACGTTCAATCAATACATAAGGGTAATGTATTATTCCAACCGTCATATTCGATGACACTTTCAATTGATTAGTTTTAGTTAACCTAATCATCATGCATTTTCTACAAAAATCAAGACTATCCTCCACCGATAGCCCAAAGCAGTTATTTCTAAACAGAAAATAAATGTACTAAATGGATAAAATATAAACATTTTGCCTAGGTGAGCGATAAATTAATCCAACTACACCCTTTAATCACACTTTTCCAATTTGAATATTTCCTATTCAATTTCTTATTTCCCCAAATTAATTATACAAATTAATTTATCATAACAATTAGGGCCTTTTCCCAAATTCACAATACCGACCCTAAGGTTCCATTTTTCATCAATAACCCAACATCAAGTCCATTTTCCAATGTATTACATACATAAGGGTTTATATGTTTGAAATCCCATCTTTTGAAAATTACACCATGACCCCAAACTTTCTCAAAATTACCCAACAACCCCCAACATATTGTAATACCAAAATTTAAAGACAAAGCTTATAAGATGGAGTAGGGTATCCCTACCTCAAAGTTAGAGCTCAAACAGAGAAGAAGACCAAACTCAAAGTGCTCTAAACTCCAAACTTTTCGGATCAAAACGTAGCCCTCGATGATCAACACACTTTTTGTAAAGGCCACAGTGTAGGAGAACACTCTAACTACATCAATCCTAAGAGAGAAGGAAGAAAATAGTGAGAGAAGCTCTCAAAAATGGCTTTTCGAAAAAGTAAGAGAGAGAGTGGAAGTTGAAAAGTGATTCAAAAATGCCCAGCTGCCAACTAATATACGCATGATTCGCTCGAGCAGAGAATAGAACGCTCGAGCGTCAAGCACAAAAACTGGACCCGCTCGAGCGCAAGAAGTCCCGTTCGAGCGCCAAGACACAAAAACAAAATACATCTACTCGAGCGCGAAAACCAGTCCGCTCGAGCGTAGATTACCCCCTCCCAGAACTTTCACAGACATTGAACTACTCGCTCAAGCGCCAAGTTACCTGCTCGAGTGTGAAAAACACCACTGCAGAAGTTTTGCAGAGGCACGAAATACTGGAAGTATGGAATCTCCGCTCGAGCGCACAAGGACCTGCTAGAGCGGACCA